CTGCTGACTTGACTTTACATATGTCATCAAAGAGCCACAGAAAAGTGACACAATCTCAAACCATTCTGGCAACTCCAGTTTGTTTGGATGCTACACCTTCAGTTCCTGTTCAAACTGACTGGAAGATAAAACCTGTCCCAACCAACAGCTTCGTATGATTCAGGGTATCTGTTTAAATTTGTTTAGGAATCCCAGGCACACTGACAGATTAACTGCAGGATAGATGGGGTGAGCACCCATTTGTTCTTCCACTGAGTTGCAGACACCATACTCCAGAAGCCAAGTACAGGCCAGAAGTCTTTAGTACCAAGATAAAACCCTGCAACCTGTGGGATGTCTCTGGGCAAACTAACGTCATGGAAACTGCAGGCAGGACCATGCTCACATTGTGAGACCGAATGCAGTTTTGTCCTTGCATTTTTAACTTCTTCAGAAAACCCCGTTTGTGTGTTCACACTTGTGAGGCTGATAGATCACACTCACATCTGTGAGGCTGATTGCAGCAGGGTGGTAACATTATCTGGTCTACAAAACAGTAAATCCCACAGGGAGGAAAAAGTATCTGCTTTTGCAACAGACTGAATTACCAGACTCTCAGGAACTCACTCTGTACCTGCAATACCCCAAACTAGTTAGGTACTGAGCTGTATGTGTATCATAGGTGAGCTAGGGGCAGATATCCCTCCATTCAGCTCCCCAGGCACATACCAAGCTAAAGCTGAATATAAAAGTCACAAGCGTTTCCTGCCACCAGAGTTATACTGAAATTTTAAAATACACACCAAAGGGCTTTAAAATATGTCAATCCAGTCCCATTAGCTGCACGGAGTTTTTCCAAAAGTGCTCTCAACCTTCATGTTCAGATACTGATACACCACATGGCAGAGGTTTTGCCACTACTCCAGCTTCACTATTAAGAAAGGCCAGTGTTAACTAAGGGACCAGTATGAACCCACACCTGCTTTGTCAGTCTCCCAATGAAACACCAGCAGCTCTCCAGTCAGTGGTTTTTAGACTAATACCAGGTCAATATCCTGTTCCCAGTCAAGATTTCTGGGACAGCTGGATAAATATGAAATACATTTCCACATGGGAAACATTTAAGTCTCATAGCTTAGAGCCTTAACAGCCTAGTGATCTTTGCAATGGGGTGTGTTCACGGGGTGGGAGGCAAAGAGGCAGGGAACAGGTTTTCTTCTGGCACCAAGTTAGGTACACTCGTTCTCTTTATCTGTATGGTTGTAGTGAGTGGCAAGAGATGCTTAGGCTAGCTGGGTTTAATGCCATTTTTCAAGGTTGGTATGTATGTGGATGGCTCTTTAGGAAAGTGTCCAGTTTCCTAGTCATTCCTCTATAGCAGCGACTCTGGTATGCAATTTCACAGACATCCAATATGTAAAACACATGCTGACTTATACAGTCTTCACATGTGTTACATATATTTTTGCTCCACGTGGCAATGAAGTTAGCAGAGGGAAAACGAGCAATTAAAGGACCTCATCCAACTCTCCCTGAAGTCAGAGGGAATAAAAAAATCCATCTCATAGATTTTACTGGGATTAATTTGGGGATCTACAAGGGAATGACAGAAGCATGCTTCAGAAACTGGGCAATCAAACTGTCATTGCCAAAACGTGGACACCCTTGCAATCCATCCTAAACACTGTTGGGCTGTAACATACCGTCAGACCTCCGAAGAAATCACATTCACCTCTACCTCAAGAGTATGGGTATCACTGACAGCTTTCAAGGTTGTTTTTATGGGAAGGGAGTTTCACCTATTTCTTTGCAGAAGAAACTCCTTAAGGATGTTTCAACGGCAATAAAGCTCTTGTTCTCTGACAACTGCCTGAAAATCTGTGGAAGGCAGACACCCTCAGTGAAGACACCTTGAGTTAAAACCCTAATTGCTGACATTTAGAAGTTAAATTTAAGAAGCCAAGTCCAGCCTTATCCTAGAAGGATAAGCATTGTATGTGAAAATAGGCAGTGGATCCAAGAATTAAATTGAGAAGTACAAAGGTGCCGCAACACTGCCCACAGTGAACTAGAAATCAGCGAACAAGGAAGGTGAAGGAAGCTACAACAAGGATACAAAAGTTGCTGTGCACCTTTAAACCTCTTCTTACCTGTCTTCTGTTAACCTCATTAGAATTGTCCCTCTAGTTGAAAAAACAATGAAGGACATCCTCAGCTGAGGGCTGCAGAAGGAGAAATAAAGTCATTATTTTGGTGGTCCAGACCAGAGCTTGCTGTATGTATAACACCAAGCACAAAGGACACCCTGACTACTGTTCAGGTTACAGTTCAACAGGACGAAAGACAGGACAAAGCAGGGAAAAGTGTTTTGCCCTGGGCTTTCTCAGTCAAGGCAAACCATGAGGAGTCCTTCTACAAGATGTACAAGATGTAGCACTTGCATCATGACCATAGGATTACTAAAGCAAGAATGGCTTAAGTGCATCCTGGTTTCACCGTGGAGACGAAGGACGGCTAATTATGTTTATCATAACACATTCCACTCACTAGCCTGGGGGATTTTTCATCCAGTCTCAAGTCATTCAGTGCTTGAAAGCTACAGCCTCAGACCTCTCCCTGCAGACCCAAACTGCTGTACCTTAGGCAGTAGCCAGCCAACTCAGAAACAAGAGGATTCCTTCCCCACAAACATACAGTTTGATCCATAGAAGCCAGGCAGGGAAAAAACAGGAACAATTAGCTTATCTACTCCTATTTCCTGCATGACAGAAATCTGGGGAAAAGCAGTCAATGGGATGATCTGAGAAAAGTATTGAGAACCCTCTCTTTATCAGGCCCCTGGGGGGGAACGCAGCTACGCGACTGCGACTGAGAGCACATCTCCCAGTCGCTGGCACACACCACACTCCGCCCCCCCAGACAGACACACGCATTCGGTTTTCTGCAAAGCAGCACTTCTTACCTTATGAACTTGCGAGCCAAGTGTTCCACAAAATGATATATTTCATTCCAGTGGTGCAGGACACTTCCTGATCTAGGGAAACAATTATTACAGGAGAGATATTAATTTAACTGCTGCTATTGCAGTTTTCTCAGCCTAATGTTTTGTTACACATTGCTCATCTAGTCATTTGTTTTTATTTTGTTTTACACTCCCTGTCCATATTCCCTCTTTAAAGACATATTACACTGTAACTGACATTTCCCACTGAACTTTGAAAAGCCAGAATAAGTTACACTCCATACAAGTGTTTTGAGGCTAAGCTTGAAATAACATATGGTAGCTACACTAGACCTTTAGCCCAGCCTTAAACAAGTAAACCATGTGTGAGTGAAGACCTGTCTCTCTGCACAGTAATTAGATCAAACCCACCAACTCACTTGCCATACCATTATGCAGAGCTTTTAGCTCAAGTGTATTTTGAGAGTAAAATGCTGTTGGAGGAACAGTGTGTTAAACTTCTCTAGCGGATCCACTGTGCTAGGGACTGTGAAAAGCAAAACACCTTAGGTCCACATCTCAACTGTTCCAGTGAGATGAAACACCTCAGTTAATGGCAAAACAAACTAATTTTGCTCCTCAGGAGAATAAGTCATGGACTATAATGGCATTGGATTATTCTTCTTTATGTTGTAAGAACCGGGAAAAATTAGGTTAATCAGAATCTTTCAGCACTAAATGCCCCTTCTGGCATAAACACTTCCATGAAGACTGGAATATTAATATTGGGAAAAAGTTTCTTCCTAGAGTTGGAAAATAAATGTGTCATCACTTACTTAATTCATTGACTACAATTAAAAATCTTTATAGGGGAAATAACCATTCCAGCTTTAATAGAAACTTCATTGATCTGCAGCCCGAGGAAGAAAAGATGAACATCTGAGAAGATGGTTTTTTTACTTCTCAGACAGAAGAGGCCTGACCTAACTCTGTTCCACGTTAGATCTAAGAATGCAGATGAACAGCCACAAATACAGTCCCCCAGGTATTGCACACCAGGCACAGCCCACCCCAGCCTAGCTGCAAAGAGCATTACTTCACTTCCTAGAAGCACAGCAAGCATGCAGCCCACATTGTGCAGGTCATACATATTTCCTTCCCTATTCTCCCCACACCTGGTTTTCATTACAGCCATTCAGTAAAAACCTTGGCGTTGCCCACATGTTCCATGACACCTTAAGCCCTCCTTTCTCTGTATGACCCCAATATGTCCAAAGGCAACCTTAGATGACATGCAGGCAGGACCCTCGCACAGGTACGAGAGCATACGGTCCATCTGGAAAAACGGTGAATGCTCTGGCTTTCCTTGCAGAAAGGACCCGATACCAAATGCACCCCTTTAAAACTAACCTTACAGACACCCCTGCTTTGTCCATGATTGTAAGGGACAGATTGCAGAGGAGACTGGATTAGCAAAGGCTAATAATGCTAGATTACTTCTTGGCTCTTTCATCAGACCAGGACTTGCAATCATTGCTTGTTCTCCATGCCAATGTGTATCAGAGAGGACAAAAGAAACACCAATAGCAAGGGTCTTGATAAACTAATTAAACCACACAGACAGCGGGAAAATTGGTGTCTTATAACAGATGAAAAATAAGGTACAACAGGCCTTGCTATCAAACAAGAAACTTAACCCCTGCTGCATCCAGACTGAAGACTGACAGAACAGACACACAAAGCCCAACCCTGGCTGCAAATACCTCTCAGAGGTATGGAATAACTCTGAGCCCTTGAATAGCACAGGCAGTCCATTCCCTCAGTGCCAAATAGCCCAAATAATTTCTGAGAACTGTCCTGGAAAATAAGTATTTATTGTCTGTATATGGTGAGGCATAAAAGAAACACTTGACTTTACAGCAATGGTTACATCCATGCCCCAAAGACGCATGAAGCCAAAGCTTTGTTAACCATAAACCAATTCTTACTTCTTTCAGTGAAATGTACGTTGCTTTAGACCACATATCCACCTCTCAAGGTGCACTTCATTCAAGTTTCACATCTTCTGAACCATCTGGTAGCCGACAGGTGAAGGTAGGACCTTTTCACAAGTATACCCTAACCAATCTTCTCCCAGCCATTGGGTAAGACTCCTATGTGAAGGGAAACCACAGCTCAGCCTCTGCCAACACAGAAGCTCCAGCTAGTCCCCACGTACAACAGGGCATGGCCCTAGACGCTGCATTAGCCTTTGGAAGAATGCTTGTTTCTTCCCCTTCCTTATGAGCCTCTGAACAAAAGTTAACATCACTTATATTGCTGTTGCAGCAAGGCAGTTGGGAATGAGATCCAGCTGCAGAGCGCATAAGGTATGTAGGTCATCATTTAAAACTCCTGTCATTTTCCATGGCTCTGAAGTCATGCATTTTTTGAAAAGAGCATTTGCCAGAATGAAGGTTAAAACCCAATAGCTCAATTCAACACCGTGCCAGTCAATAGCACATGCTGTTTAAGCTTTTGTCTTTGCAACTGTTGTTCCACTGGTCTTAAACTGTTTCAGCAGTTTTTCAGGAAAGCAGTGTTTTTTCATCCCGCACACAAGTACAGCCTCAGCCTCTACGCACCTCCCCTTCATCATCCTCACTCTGTTCTCCCACCAACAGTCCCATCTCTCTGCCCTCTGGAACAAAACTCCAAGCATCTGAAGGCACAGTTCTTTCGCTGTGAAACCTTCTCACACATCTATTAACACCCAAGAGGAACAACCTGAAGTTCAAGAGCAGCAGAATGTTCGATATCTATTTTAAGGAAACATCTTACGATTGCTACAACCATACAAACAAGCCCACTCTACCCCACAAAAGGAGGATGCTTTCTGCTTTCCATTCCAAAGGCACCGAAGTGGGGCAATTGGAATGGTCTACAATCCATTCATTCTTCACTTCTACCAGATCAAACTATACCAGGGTCCCAGTCTGAAGGTTCGCACTTGCTGACCACACATCCTTCCTTCTAGCACAGCACGTTTCCATCTGTAGCTAGGCAGCCTGCAGCCTACTTGCAGTTAATTGCTCCACCCAGCCCAGGCCAGGTGTCTGTGGGTATAAATGCCCAAGTCTGCATTTAGAAAAAAGTACTCCTCTAATACATAAACACATCTTCTGGAACACACTTCAGACTTCTTACAGTCTTCACTTGGCATAAAATGGACAAACGCAGTAAAACTAACCTTTTGGCAGGCAAGAGAAGGTTTACAAAACCAGCATTAGTTTACAGCGTTCACCTCCAAAGCTTTTGGCTGCGTTATTCGGAAGCCCCACAGTGAAAGACACTTGTCACTTGTGGAGCCTCTCTCTCATAAGTTGGGCCAAGAACTCTGAACAGAACAACTGTTTCTAAAGCCTAGCTGCAAGACAATGAAAGCCAAATTTAAAATTGTTATCTCTTCATATTCCCAAAGAGAAACAAGATGATGAGCAAGCCAACACTTTGCAGCTGAATGGTTGATGCTATAAACTTGTAATTTAAGGAAAAAAATCATCATAAGGATGCCAAATCCTCTTCCTGGAGAATAGCCCAATAAATGGAAATTAAGACTAAGTAAACCATTATGCCTTTAACAAGAGAATGATACATTCTGTGGTCAACCGTGCTGGCATTATGTGCATCTAAACTGAATCCAAGGGTGAGAAAGACACTCCACATGGCTCAGTGGTTCCAGACAGAGCCACACTCTGGCTAAACCCTGCCTGCCCGCAGCTGCTTTTCTCCTACTGAGTGTGACCAGACGCACTGTAACCCAAAGCTGCAACAACTCAACCTGTCTCCAGTTTGACTTTCTTGCACTTTTTGGACTCCTTATTTCCACGTCTGTCATTGCACCTTCTCAGAATACCCATGGATTTATTTAATTCACAAACTAGAAACCAACAGAACCAAGCCCACAAACTCTTACGCCAAGACTTCACACCAGTCACACGCACTGCTGTGACATACATAAAGACCCCTGATTCAGAAACTGATGTTGATCCAAATTCTCCTTAAATTTCCACAGGTTTGGATTAATTTCAAGAAGTCTCATAGCTGTCAGAGGTTGTACTGACCCAAGAAGTTTTGCAGCATCTTTTTATTAAGCTCTTCAAAATAGCACAAATGAGCCAAAAAAACTTATCAAATACTTCAGAAGCAATTTTGAAAACACACTGTAACGCAAAGATGTTAGGTGATGCAATTCTTTGAGGAAACACTACTATCTTGTGCCACACGAGACTGCTCAACAGAGATACTGTCACATTTGAGATTACAGGGTCTGTAGAGGTCCAGTTCAGGGCAGGATAAACCTCTGATGCCAGTCCCAGTCCAAGAACATTGTTCTCTTCCTGATTGGCCAAGGATACATTAAAAAAACCCAACTAATAAATGAATAACCATGGACCGAATTCACATCCGGAGAAGTGCAGAGCGCTGCAGGCACACCCTTGATCCTGGAGGTGAGGCAGCTCCCACCCACCCCTTTTACCAAGGAATAGTTAAACTCAGATGCAGCACTGGCTGAGCCAGGTACGGAGCTCTGGAGGGACAAGGATTTCCCATACTAACGTAGCTCATTGCCCACGTGCCCACTGCAGACCTAGGGGTGAACTGCATTCCTTCGGGCCACCAGCAAAAAGACGGAAGGCTGCATATTTCTCCACACTACCTTGCTAGCATCCCTCTACGCTTGCAACGTTAGATCTAAGAATGCAGATCTAAGGATTTAGGAGGTCAACGAAGATCAGAGATACCTGTGAACCTATTTCTGCTGACACTCAATGTTGCCATTACCTCCTAAAGGCTTGTATTTCTCCAGAGTGAGCTGCTGTGGGTAGCTCTGCCGGAAGGCTCACGTTTCCCAGGGAAGAGTCACTGCTACCAGAAGCAGTTCATTGCAGGCTAGTCCCCAGCATAGGTGATGTGGTGTCTGTCTGCTTTCCAGCCCACTGTGCCCCTATATTCTTCTACACTCCGAGTGTTAATCTGGATTTAGTCCCGCTTTAGCAGCTGGAGTTACCATGACTTAAGCTAGATTCAAAGAAACAACTATTAGCCTCTCTAGAGCAGGAGTTTCACTTCAATACAACTGGTTAAAAATAGATCAGCTCTCTGGCAGAACAATGAAGGGATCACAGGAACAGCTTGGATTACTTGCTTCGTTTTGCCAATGATCTTTCAGAGCCAAGTTTCTTTCACACATGTACAGTTCCTTGTGTGTTTTCTGCACATGGGTGTAAGTTTTCTGCACCGGGGTATAAAATGCCTCCTGTTTGCACACAACAGGCAAGAGCACCCGGACTAACTCCTGTGACATGCAGAGGATACAGCGAAAGATTATGGAAGAGACTTTCACCTTGTTATTCCTTTCTCCCTACCTGCAAATAAATTAATCTTGGAGTTACCTATAAATGTTCCAACAGTGCTTGTGAGAGGTGTTTACATACTACAGCATGAGATACCATGACAGTCAGCAGCGGGTCACAGTCTTCATTAATTAGTCACATGGTTGATATTTTTAGAATAACTGGACAATGCCAGCAAAAACAAATGTTTGCTTTTTTATCAACATTTCACTGCTTCCTCATTCTTCCTTCTTATATATCTTGTCTTGCATCCTCGCTGTACACTCTTTGGCACTGTCGTCTGCCATATATTTTGCTACCATTCAGCACCTCAATCCATGAAACCCCTTAGCATCAGAGTAACAGAAAAGTACATCATCTAGGACCCGCTCTCACAGCAATTCCCCCAAGATAAGCCAGCCTTACCTTCCACAACACTAGGCTCACCTTGGTACGACCTCAACTCCAAGATGCCTAGCGCCCTGTATGACTAGATCCTGCATATAACCCAAATGGCAAACAACTGTATTCTAGACAGCACATGGCTTGAGTTGTAGCCCCTACCACATTTGGGTTTGTTGGGTTTTTTTCAACCAAAGCACAAGACAAACGGATCAATCCAGTCTTAATTTCTGTGAATACAAGTCCCTCAGTGAACCTGCTGTCAGGAAGCTTAGAATTTCAAGTTAGGTGTTTGTGAGTGGAATGCTATTTTGGTCCTTTTGAGTTTGCTGCATGTCAAGTGATGATTCTCAAGAGAGCTGGCAAATCATAGTTTCCTCTAAAGCGGGAGCACTGCACCACCACCAGCAGGTCAGCTTCAGTTTTACTTGGGAAGGAGTTTGTCCAACTCAAACTAGGGTCCTCCGGGGTGTCTTTGCATCACTTCTGGGACATAACTCTGCTAGCCCGAGGCCCAGTGGTCACAGCTCGAGAGGCCTTCTCTGCTGCCACCTACGCTACGTGAGAGCCCTTGGAAGAGGCAAAAGGCATGCAAGTGCACACAGGGAGACCGAGGATGCGGCTGTAACCTAACAAGCATAGCTGGCATCATTCAAGCTTTGGTTGTTTGTTACATGGATGTCAAGGCTGCATAGCATAACAGGATTCTTTCTGAATGGCTGAATACTGGATTTTCTTCTCCTTTGACCATGACAAATGGGAGATCTGTTTCAGGTCCTCTGAGCATGCCATCTGCAGGGAGTCGTTTCTCCAGCTGTCGGCAGAAAGCTGCAGGAAACCTGGTTTCCCTTCAACAGTTGACACAGCAAGTTTGCAGGAGTTTCCTAAGGAGAATGTTTCAGGGAGCTAGAGCATCACTTCCTGATAACAGCCTCTAACCCCTGCCCTTTCCCAGCTGGTTATGTGTTCACTTTGAAGGGGCACATCATGGCCAGAAACATGCTACAGTAAGCAAGCGCTGTGACAAGGCCTGTGGACGGTGTGGCAGCTGGAGCATGTCCTACAAGCAGCACACGTACAGGGTGCTCAAAGGACTTCAGTAGTCACTAAATCCAACCAGGCACTGAGGCACACGGGTCGGCAGCGGGCTCTAGAGCTAGTGACTTCAAGAGCTGTGTTTATTGTTTTTGTGTTACGCCTTTGAACCCAGAAAGTAGATTGCTTAATATTTTAATGGCTTGCTTCCACCACAGAGATTAACATTTCATGTTTCAGAATCCAAATCTCTTGCGCTTCAGTGTCCTTAACACTTTTAATCATTTTTAATCACTTTCAGAGCTATTTCAAAGAAAAGCAGTGAGCCCCAAATCTATTATTATCATTTCATAGTTTGCCTGAAGGCCTCCATAGGCACCACCTCTCTTTGCATTCAGGACTTCAGCAGCACTTTTGAAAACATTCTCTAATAATTCAAAAGCAGAAAACCCAGGTTAAGTAAGAAAGACTCAAGTTTTCAAGAACTTCAGCATTGTACCTGAGAAATCAAAGACATTTTTACAGATAAATGGTATGGAATGACTTACTCTATCACAGTAAGTCTCTCATCAACCCCCTCAAAGGCTAAATAATCAGGTCCTGGCATATTGTACGTGCTAATAGTTTAACTCTCCTCAAAATTCCACTGGAGCCCAAAGGCATTTTCACATCAGACTCTCTTCACTTCTACACAAGAAAAAGCCCAGAAGTAGGAATCCTACAACTGTTAAAGCAGGATTTTTTGTTGGATACCTTGATACATGCTCTGAGGTAAGCCTGCCTACTTTGAAGTTTGTGCCAAGCTGCATACTTTCACTCAAATTCATAATCCCTTCAGCAAGCCTAGAAAGTCATGTCTTCTAGTAAACGGACAGCACAGACCTTGAAATAAGTGGCTGTTAAAATTACATAGCTCAGAGGTATAACCCAGCACATCCATCACATTTAAGAAACCCTTCAATTCAGCTTCTACTCTCAGGGAAATGCAGCTTGCAAAAGCTGTCTGCAGCACAAATCACTCTTTTTCTCTCATATGTAGCAATAAAAGTCTTCCAACTAATAACTGAACAGCCAAAGCAACAAAATGCATTAGACAAGTAGATCTTTCCACTGAATAAAGTAAAAGAAATAAAAATCTTTCCCCTGTAGCATTAGAACAACTGGCATACTAAAAGATCCAGTGCCTCAGTCTTACTTTTTAGCCAGTATTTTGTAATAAAGCGTTATGTAATTCCAAGTCATTTATACTAATGGAATGTGGGAGCTACTGCAAAACACTCCAGAGGATCAGTCAGAAAGCTTCATCCGCGAGCACTTTTGGCAAGTTGCAAATACTTTCCTGTCTCTGAAATTTATGGTCAATAATGTCAGTACCATGGCTCTGGCACACATATTCTCCATTATTTTCAAAAATTTTGGTTCAAAATAACTATTCTTAATCAAGAAAATGAGGAGAACCGTTTTTGCTAATACTTTTTAATACTTTTTTGTAAACTGTTGTATTGCTTCAATACGAAGCTTTCCAAAGCGCAGCACATTATCTATTTCACACTGCTCCACCTTCAGTCTGAAAGTCTGTAAAGAGACAAACTTCACAGTGCCAAGAAGATGACACTGTCACAACTGGTGATGAAAAAAGAGAAGTAGGAAGTTATCTTTAGTAGAAAGAGTTAAGCAGTCAAAATATGCATTTGATTAACAGGAAACAAAGAAAATGTGACTCAGCGTAGAGAAAATAAAGCTCTCCTTACACTCAACTGTTTTCCATCACAACGGCCAAAATCAGTCCCTTTCAAAGGGAGCAGCCACCTCTCAGAGCCCCATCTTTACCTGCAAGTCGCTGCTCTAGAACGTTCAGAGCTAAGGAGCAAGGGGAGCTAGAGCAGACTTCCAGCGGGCGAGCATTTCCTTCACCTTTTCAGCTACAAAATTAAAGCCGGCAATAATAACTCTCCAACCCCTGCTTTCATGAGTGCCTCAGCCCCCACGGTTCATAGGGAAATCAGAGGTGACCAGGTGCTGCCCTTCTCCCAACCACTCTTTTAAGAAACTACAGGGTCAAGTACACAATAAAGCTTCTATATCAGCCACAGCACGATTTATAACGATGTGATTTACAGAGCACAAAAGGATTATGCACTACACCTACCAAAGAAGTTACCACAACAAAAAGACAGGAGTAAGGAGTTTCGCAGGTCCCTCGGGAACACAGTGACTTCTACAAAACCAAAATCCAACAAAACCTCCTCGGTATCAGTGTATGCCATTCCAGTTCATGCCTAGAGAAAGATTCCTTTTTCAGAAAGAACAGAGTAGAACTGACTTACTTGTCTAGAATGAAATACAAATCAAATCCTCCGTAACAGGCAGGACCACCGTTCTCTCTCTTTCCACCTTGTCCATCACAGGCTAGCATAAAAGTCGCTAGGAAGAGACATTTGAAGCCAAATCTCAGGATGCTTTGCTTTGCAATGGCCATTATATCCAGAGAGGAGGATAAAAAGAAATCTCTTCTTCCAAGGCTCCTTTATTTCACAGGTTTCTGGACAAAAGCCATTCAACGAGCTTTAGAAGTATGTACGTATATTATATTCCTTAAAACTCCACTTGCAAGAGTTGTCCTCAGGAATTGCAAGACTTTCCCCCTTGTTTCCCTCGCACTTCTGTTTCTTGGTTTCAGATTTCAAGATGCACAATACTGTATTTCACTTTTTTTTTTTTTAAAGGGACTTGACCCTCTGTCTCACTTGCAGCTCTCCGAAAGCAGCACCATTGTTTTGCAAGAGAAGGAGCAGCCTCCCTACCAATCTTGCTTTGTCACAGACTTCAGAAGATACAGGGAGGGTTTTTTTCACTCCTTAATTATTATTGTTATCATTAAGGATAGCAAGTTTTATTTTTCCTTCGCAAAAAAAGCTCGGAGAATGCCACCGTGTGGCGAAAACTCAAGCTGACAGAGCCCACCCGCCGAGCATAACACATACCACAGCAGCCCTAGGTAGGAGCAGGGAAGCCGCTGGCTTATAGTGGTCACAGAGCGTTATGCAGAGACGTCTTTGTTTCCCACTAGGCAACACCTGACTTTAAAGACCGTTAAACAGCTGGAATCACTTCACAAAAGATGAGGAGACAAGCCACACCGGGTTTCATCCCTTATACTCGCTCAGTCCTGACAGGTATCAAGCAAAGTTTGTGCTTTATGAAACAGGCTTCCCCTTTTACCATTGTTAGCAAACGCATCTCGCCCACCTAGAGCCTAAACCCTTCCTCTTAAAAGAAAATTTGCTGGAAAACAGAAGTTGAGCTACACCTGTGTTTTCCAGGTCCTTCAACAAGCAGTACCACAAGCTCTAAAACAGGACAGCTCAAAAGCACAAGCAGTGCCCAGCCACAACAGGTCCCATGCCAACAAGAGCTAAAGTGGGGGGTCCCAGCCTTCCCCCTCGAACCCTCCCAGGCCAGGGCAGCACAGCTCTTCTCCCAGTACTAACCGCCGGTTAGCAGAGCAGCTTCAGGTGTTCCCTCATGCCTGGGGCAACCAGGTCAGGTTTTAGCACCTGCACCAGCCCTGAGTGGGCAGAACGGGAGGGTAGAGGCTGCTTCGTAGGTAGTTGTGTGAGAGAGGCGGAGCTGCCACCTGCTGGTGTGCATATCCGACCGACCTCCGCGCTTAGAGCCTGCGAGCTGAGGCTGCTGGGGGGGAGCACGAGCACAGTGGTTCCAGCAGCCAGCATAGGTGTGCTAGGTAAGCAGGTAGCGCTTGGGGATTTTAGTTTCATATGGATGCTTTGGACCAAGTTGGTTTATAATTATAAGGCTTGAATGTCACAAGTCAGGGGATTATATGCAGGGAGTGTTGTGTGTGTATTTGAACTTCCCCTGATTAAGGGGATGAGACTAGCCCATGGCTTCGTTTTTTGGCATTTTAAAAGAAAATGAGCTGAACAGAGGATGTAAAAATAGGAAGAGTAGAAGAAAAGCTTCCTCTCTGGGGACCAATGTGCTGCTGGTTTTGAGCAATCTTGGGAAAGTACTTGGGGGCAGCTTCTGATCTGAGGTACAGCTAGGGCTCCCACCCAGCCAGGTACAGTGGCTTGGCTTCACCCGCTTACGGCATGTGTCTGCCTGAAGGCTGAAAGTGGGCTGAGCAGCCTTCATTTGCTTCGGCCTGACCCCGAGATGAACAAATATGTAGAGTTAAGGAACCCAGCAAAACTGTACACTGAGAAAGTAATTTTGGCCTGAAGCTAGCAGAGAGAGGAGGGGGAGTGGAGGAGATCAGACTGTCTGTGTAGCTGTGCATTCCGGCTGACAGAAGGCCCAGGAAAACTTGGGAAGAAGCCAACGAACGAGGCATCAGATGAAGCGTAGAGCACTCAGAGAAGGAGGGAGCTGCTGACAAAGTGCAACGCCATGCTTTGTGCTGGAGCTCTGACTTTCCTCAGGGCTAGTCCTCTCCGTGTGCCTATTTCAGAATGTGTCTTTTTGTTTATGATTTGGGAAGAGCAACATAATTATTGTGACACTGAGAAAAACAGCTCCATAATAGGAAGCTCATGTGAGACACAAGAGGGGGTGTTGGAATTCCTGTCTGTCCCTCCCTCACTAAAAATGCTAGAAACAAAACTATTATGAAAATTGTAGCTTTGTGTGAAAGACCGAAGAGCTCTTGGAGAGACGGGGAGTGTCATATTCTTTGTGTGAAAGAGAGATGTAAGGTGTTTCAATTACATGCAGTAGTTCAAGGAGTAATTAAGCTCCAAGTGATGCCCTTGGTGTGTGAATACAATATGTAAATGATGGGGGAAGTGGTATCACCAGATTTTCTTGTCTTATCATCTACTCCCTTATATGTGTCTGTGGACCTTTTCGGGAACTTACAGCTTGGAAGCAAGCCTTAGTTCCCGAGTTTTCATGGCACTTCAGGAAGCTGTTACAGCAGTCTGCATGGATAACCGAGATGTAACAAATAGCTTACACTGACCAATACTATTATCACAAATACACCATTGCTGTACAGAATTACTTCCACCTTCAGTGCAGGCGTATCCTTAAATTCCCTGGCCGTATCTTCGAATGGTGTCATTCGGCTACGCCGTCACACCTGGTGTAGGACGGACTTCTCTGTCGGTGAGTTGTGCACAGTTACGTTTCACAGAACGTATACCACGTACCACTCAAGGCTGACACCCAGTGGCCAAGGGGGCTTGTTTCCTCTCTGGGTTGCTCTGGTTTTTCAAGGGAACAGTAACTCTCTTGCTTTTACCCGGCTTTGCCCTGCTTTGACATTATTTGCCTCTGCTGTAACCCGTAAGGTTCTACTGTGTTATTTTTCTGGTGATAAGAGTTCGTTCCACTAGCTCTTTTAACAAGGGCTGCCAACTCTGTAACTTCTTCCTGGAGAGGAATATCAGGCTAAGCATACAATTGAAAATATATTGCTTGTAATAGTAACTAAAATATGAGATTTAATAATTCTGCCATAATCTAAGGTGGTCATGTGGTTGCTTTTCAAGTCTGGGTTTTTAATTTCTACCTAAGCCTGCCTAGAAGCAGGGGGTGCAGCCAGACGAGCTGTTGTCCCCTGTGGTTAGTGCTGTAGGAAGCAGAGTTGTGTAATAAGGCTACGCTCTTCTCAACAACCTTCCCTCCTCAGTGTTACACGTAATATATCTTTTGTTTGCCTTTAACCATTTCCAAGCACTTTGCCAGGCCTGGAGCATCCTCGCAGCACCTCTGCAAGTGACTTTTTTTATGTTCGCTTATAGCCGGCCAAAGTTCCACCCAGCTACTCGAAGGGGCAGCTATCACTAGTGGCAACTTTCTCTCTAATTGAATTCAGAGGAGGTGATCAGCCTGGTTCCCACTGATCCTGGGTTTGGAGCAAATGTTGAGGAAAACATTAGGGGCTTCTGATTTTCAGTATGTCAGAAAATTGGGCAGCTGAGTGACCTCTCTTCTCAAATGAAAGCACACAGTTAAAGTATTTGCTAAGAAACTGGGCTTAAAACTGACTGCTCCAATGCCCAAGCCCAAACCACGGGGCAGGTGTCCAGTCCCCTGTGACTCACAACAATGCAAACTCAGTGTTCTCCTTAGGGCTCCGTTCAACTTGGTCAGACAGCAGTAATTAACCCCTCGGAGACACTAAGGTGCATGAATCCTGCAACAATTAAGTCTAAAGTGACAGTGATTATCTAGAAATAAGCATCTACCTTTGAGCCAGTGACTATGCGAAGAGCACTGATGAAGCACTGTTTGTTTAACTGAGGATTGGCATCTTCCGCAGTTTGGTCTCCACCGGTTTTAAGTCAAGAGGATAAGCACACATGCCCAACAGGAGGGAGCAGAGCGGCACAGAATGAAAGGAATCCGGTTTACTGACTACTTTTCACGTAATCCTCCTGGATTTAAAAATAAATCTTACTGCATTGTTGGATTAGCAGTCTGACTCACCCTTTTCAAAGTGATGTAAACATGGAGAAATGGGACCGTTTATCTATGAGGCAAGGCACTGCCTCTTAACTCATCCTGTTCCTCCTTGAAGACTTTCTTTGGGAGAGACTGACACATGCTCCAAACTGGAGTGCTAAATGGAAACGTTTTCTCTCTTCAGCCTGGGCTGTATTGTCAAATTATCCTTCTCCTAATCGTGTTTACGGATCTCCTTTGTTCAGCCTGGAGAAGAGGAGGCTCCGAGGAGACCTCATTGCAGCTTTCCAGTATCTGAAGGGGCTACAAGGGTGCTGGGAGAGGACTTTTTACAAGGGCCTGTAGCGACAGGACAAGGGGTAACGGGTACAAATTGAAAACAGGGAGGTTTAGGTTAGATATCAGGAAGAAATTCTTCCTGGAGAGGGTGGGGAGCACTGGGACAGGTTGCCCAGAGATGTTGTGGAGGCCCCATCCCTGGATGTCTTCGAGGTCAGGCTGGATGAGGCTTGGAGCAACCTGGTCTGGTGCAAGGTGTCCCTGCCTGTGGCAGGGGGGTTGGAACTAGATGATCTTTAAGGTCCCTTCCAACCCAAACCATCCTATGATTCTATGATTCTATGAGTATTGTCCCTCAGTAGCACACCCTTTAGAATTTATGGGGCAAAAGCAGGGTCCCAGGTCCTTGTAGGTCAGAGCCTGGGAGATGGCTTTGCAGACGTCTGCCATTAAATACTGCCTTTCTGCAGTGCTGGGGGACAGTATGTCCTGGGGGAGTTGCTGTGAGGAGGTTCTTGCTGTAGTCGTTCTGCAGAGCTCTCCCCCCAGCAGGGTGAGGTGAATGTGTACGTAGGATGTGGGAGTGTGGTGGCAGGCGCAGGCTCTGGGCTGGGACAGCGGGATGTACAGCTCCCCTTGGTAACAAGCAATACAGCTTCTGTCGAAGCATCGAGTTTATTTCACCCCTTGTCGTCATTCTGTTCCTTCAACGAGCTTGACTCCAGTTTTGCAGTATTATAGGTGTGTTTTTGTTGCTGCTGAGAAGTT